TGTAAGTGCATCTGTGTCATGCAATACCCGTGGAGGTCAGAAGAGGACATCAGATCCCCTGGAATAGTAGTTACAGCTGGTTGTTAGCTGCCATGTGGATGCTGGGATTTGAACCCAGGTCTTCTTCAAGAATAGTGCTCTTAACCCCTGAGCATCTCTCCAGCCTTTTTGTTTTTGTTTTTTTGTGGTTGGTTAGGTTTTGTGAGACAATCTCAAGTAACCTAGGTTGGCCTTGAACTCCTGATCCCCCTGCCTCCACCTCCCAAGTGCTAGGGTTACACCACCAAGTCCAGCTGAGGAGACTGACTTCACCTGCCTTAAGGACTTCAAACCCCTCAGCCCAGGGCTTGGCCAGATCAGCCTGGATCTGCAACAGAGGCCCCTTCTGAAGCCAAGACAAGGATATTCAGCCTGTACCTGTCACCATCCCTCTGGGTGACTCTTTTGTCACTGATAACTGGATGGAGCACTGAAGAGACAGGCAGGGAACAAATAGCTCATTAAAGAAATGAACGCATCAGATTCCTGATTTAGTCCCTTCGGAAGCAACAGGCTCTGGTGCTCCATGCGGGGGGCATGCGGCAGGGTGGGTGCACAGGCAAGAGGCTTGCCCATGGCTCTTAGCAGCGGCTGTGTTTGGAGCTGCCTGCTGACAATGGAGGGTAAGCAGGTGCATGCACCTGTGGCAAAAAAAAAAAAAAAAAAGCCTTGTACGGTGAGGACACCACTGCGGGAGGGAGCCTCCAAAAGGGTTTCTAAAGAGGTGACGTACAGCAGGGACCTGAAAGATGGCAGCCACCCGGCCATGCAGAGCAGTCTGGTGAGGTGACGTACAGCAGGGACCTGAAAGATGGCAGCCACCCGGCCATGCAGAGCAGTCTGGTGAGCCCCTACAAGAACCAGCAGCACACGCAGGGTCTCGGGGCCAGAATGGAGGAACAGGAGGAAGGTGTCTGTGGACGGTTCTGAGCAAGAAGAAAGAGCAAGAGACAGATGAGCCACGCTTGGGCCAGAGCAGAGGGCTTGGCCCTGCAGCTGTCGCCCTTTTTCTGTTCCCTGGGGCTCCTGCTGGTGATGTGCCTTTGTTGTACCCATGGTTAGCATGCTCACATTACACAGGATCTGTGGTAAGCACTTTGTGGGCATTATCTCATTTAATGCCCATGCCAGGCCTAGCAGGAGGGATCAGGTCTGAAAGTACTAGTTCCTGTTCAATTTCCGTCCAGGGCTGGCTCAGTTTCCTGGGGAAGTGGCATTGTCTCTGTGAGCGGGATGAAGCCCCAGGAACCCTCCTCCTGTCGGGCGCTTCCCACATGGTTGAAGGTGATCAAAGAGGCCTTGGATAAAAGCTGGCTTCTCAGACTCTAGTCCCCATCAGGGGCAGAATGAACTGCCATGTAGCTTTGATCAACAAGTGACTCTGCTAAGCCAGGAGAGGAGGCTCAAATCCAATTTCCTACAGGATCCTCTAGGGAGCTGGGGGTGGGGGGCAGAAACACGGAACGCATTCTCTCCCTCGTGACCTTAATTCCGATGCTTTGCCCAAGCAGGAATTACCCAGCAAGCACCCAGTCAGGTCCTCGGTGCAGCTTTCACAGGATGGAGAGCAAGGTGAGCTGAGAGCCTTGGGCCCTGGTCCAGGGAGAGTAGACATATCACAATTCCTCTTCAGAAAGAGGGCCGGCTTTCAGATTAGCAATAAAGGCAAGCTATCGTTGACTGAGGTGGAGGTGTTTGTGGGAGACAAGAAGATATGCTGTGCTCCTGCATGCGGGGAGCTCACGTTCTAGAAAAAGGGAGGCCCAATCTGAGACCTGCTCTGAAGACAAACTGAGCAAGCAGGGTGGTTGGTATGGAGACTGGCCCAGTAAGTGTCTCAAGAGGTAGGATTGTTGGTCTGGTTCCTAAGAGAGCCAACAAAACCCCGCAAAGGCTCAGAGGAAGAGAGTTCTAGAAAAAGGCACAGCAAATTTGCAAAGGCCCTGTTCTAGTTTCTGTTACTGTGATGGAGCACTCTGACCAAAAGTAACTTAGGGAGAAAAGGTCTGTTTGGCTTACACCTCTAGGTCAGAGTCCATCACAAAGGGAAGTCGGAGCAGGAGCTCAAGGCAGTAACCTGAGGCAGGAACCTGGAGGCAGGACCCATGGAGGAATGCCTTGATAATAGGCTCCTGCTTAGCTAGCTTTTTCACACAACCCAGGACCATCTGCCTAGGGATAGTACCGCCCACAGTGGGCTGGGCCCTCCCACATCAGTTGATAATCAAGAGGAGCCCCCCAGACACACCCACAGGCCAATCTGTTGTAGACAATTCCTCAGTTAGGAGTCTCCTGTCAGATGATTGTAGGCTGTGTCAAGCTGAGTAGTCAAGCTAACTAGGACAGGCCCTGCAGTTAGTCCTTCACCTATGTTTGGGATATTGCCAGACCAATGTAACTAGGAGGGAGGTGGGGAAAGACAAAACCTAAAAAGACAGAAACAGCCCAGACACCATCAATAGATGACAGACTAAAATGTGTCTGCATGTGTGATGTTCCCTGGGGAGATGTGCACAAATGTCAATCTCGGGTTGGACACTTATCACAGAGCAAAGAAATTATTCCACCCAGGTGTAGCTTAGTGAACTTAGCTGGGGTGCTTGCTCAAAGATAAAGCCGTCACCAGAAAGCCCACCCCAGCATGTGTCAAGTCTCAAGAAAGCCGTACCTTGGAGTTCCGTGCATGACTTGCAGGCAGCATGGTTGATTCTGAAGGTCCCCTCTCCCCAGTGATTATGACTTTATAGCACCTTAGGGAGGAGCCTTGGAAAGGCTGGTAAGTTTATGAACTTCCTGAGTTTTGTTTCATTTAATTCTTGAATCTTGAGAGCCTCCTACCTCCTTCCAGGAGCTTGTGTGAACACAAACACACTCACACATACACACATGAAATAAATCTAATAAATTTCAAGGATAAAGTTTGTTATGTATTTTGTAGTGCACTATAATTTTTTTTTTTATTAGTACGAGTATATTGCCTGCATGTATGTGAGTGCACCCGTGTCGTGCAATGCCTGAGAGGTCAGAAGAGGGCTTTGGATTCCCCTGGAACTGGAGTTAAGGATGGTTGTAGTCACCATGTGGGTGCTGGGAATCCAATCCCCCTCCTCTGCAAGAGCAGTCAGTGCGCTTAACCGCGGGGCCATCTCTCCAGCCCCTATAAATTGTTTTTCAAAAGACATGGGCTAGGAGTAAGAATCCGAAGAAGTGGGCAGAGGTAACACCTAGGTGGAGGTGATACTGCAAAGGTCTGGAAGCGCACACATGGGGTATTCTGACAAACATCAAGGATGCTGAGTTTGAGGGTATTTAGGTGAAGAGGCAGCAGTTTCCCTCTACCCAAAAGACAAACTGGGTGTCCTCTGACATGGATGGGGAGACGTTTTCTGGGTGCAAGGTTCTGTGTGGTCAACAGCAACTTGAAGGAAAACACAAAGCCCCCTACAGACCTGGAGAACACAGCAGGGGAGAGGCGGGAAGATATTTGACTCTAAAGATAGATGATAGATAGATTAGGTAGATAGAATAGATTAGATAGAATAGGTTAGATAGATTGATAGACAGACAGACAGACAGATAGATATCCCAGGGGTGTGGACTCCGCAGTCGAGGTGACCCAAGCCTTAAAGGTTTTGTTCCAGGACCAAAGTTGTGATGTCAGAAAAATCACTGCCATCCTGAAGTGGAAGAGCCGCAAGGCTAGAGTTCTCGGGACGCTGGTCCCAGGCTGGGGGTTAAGAGCCGCGGGGATCAGAGGTCCGGGTGAAGAAGCAGAGGGTCAAGGGCGCGTGCGGCCCGCAGGAAGGTTGTGGGAGAGGACAGCGGCGAGCAAAGGCATCCGGGAAGAAGCTCAGTGACGGGCAGTGGGCGCCCCCGGGCTTTGGCGAGCCCAGCTCCGCGGCCCAGAAGCCCCACTTCTTTGGACATTTCACCACAGCTAAGACATGCACATCCTCGTCTAGGGCGACCTCTAGGCAGCGCCACGGTTAGGAGCAGTGCTGGGGTCAGCTTTCCCTTGCTCCGCGCGCCTGGCCGGGTGTCTGGCACAGCATGGACACTGGCTGGTGGCCTAAATGAGGCAGAGATGGGCAAGAGATTTCAGGAACCGGTTTTGCGCGCTGTGTCCAGAGCAAGACACCGGACTGGAGGGCAGTCCAAGCCCATCGGGCTTGGAATATGCATGAGCCAAGCTCCTGCCCGGAGGCTCGGGTCGCCTCCTAGGCTTGTTTTGCAAGGACCCCAGACAGGTCACCCGGCACCCGGCACCCCTAGGGCCTGCAGAGGAAGAGGAAGGAAACCGGGCCGCCCGCAGGTCGATGGGCATGGTGCCCTCTGCACGCAGACCCAGGGGAGTCCTGGGGTCAAACATTGGTCTGCTCTGCTCGTCCAGGGGCTGATCCCGGACCAGAGCGGAGTGCAGCATCCTAGCCCTGCGGGCTGCGGCCGCGTCTACGTGGCCCTGGGCGCCGGCTGGCAGCTTGTTGCCGAGAGCCGCGCGGGTGCGCCCGGAGCGTCCCCCCCATCGCGCGCCCCGCGGGCACAGCGAGCGCGCAACTCCCCAACTCCGGGACTTTGGCAAAGCTGCGGCGGGAGGGGGAGCCGCCAGGAGCGGGACGCACCATCGCGGCCGGCGGGTGGGGGAGTGCGTCGGAGCCGGGGACCCTGGTGCGCAGCGCGGGGCGCGGATGCTCCGCGCGGACGCGGACGGCGGAGGCGCAAGAGGC